GACTATCCTGTGCCCACCAATGTAAAAGAAGTATATGTTTCTCCATTTTGCTTTTTATTCATTCCTAGAGATTTCTCTCTTTGCTTTCTCTTGCCTCCTTAATCTACCACTAATGTATTTCATGTGCCTTCCCTACGTTTTCTCTGGTGATTCTAAATGCATGAAAAGAACTGTAAAACTGCCACCCTCTGGGGCATTTTCTCAAGCCATTGAGATCTTGCTTCTGAGTATGTCCTCAAAAATTTGGCTCAAATAAACTCTTATAAAACTTTTCTTTAGGTCCGGACATTCTTTTACGGACAATACTTCTACCATATTTGCATTATAATACTAGGGGAAGGAAGAAGAGTATTATGGCCTCTTTCCACTCAAGATAAGTAAGACTGTCCACTAATCAACATTATTGGCAATACCAAAGCCATTAGAATCTTAAAATTATGTTTAGTTTTTTGATAGTCCTTATTGTAAACTGTAAAGGATATGTAAAGTACTCAGATTTGCATATTAGACTTTCTTTTTCATGTTAAAGAAATCTATAAACTTCCACCAAACTAGTCTGGTACCTCAGCAACAGATCAAATGATTTCCTTTGATTACAAAGCACAGTATAAGTAGTGAAAGGAAATAACATTCATTTTTCACTTACTAGGTGTCAAGCACTGTATAAATGTTATCTAATATAATTTTACCACAATCTCATGTGGTAGGTATTATTAACCTTATGAAAACTTGAGATGGCTATAATAGTATCAATACAGTCCATGAAAACTACCAGTCATTTTTTCCTCATAGACATTTTTTCAAGGTGTGGACTATGTGTGTTTCCGGGTGGTCCAAATGCAGATGAGGTGTTTCCCAATAAACTCATAGCTTGTATCAGGATAAGGTGAGGGTCCAACATGAACTGGCTCCTGCCTGCCTTCACAACTCCATTCTGAACCCCTTTATCTATATCCCTCAGTTTGCTCCAGGCCTATTGCCCTTTTCTTTCCTGGAAGAGGAAGAGCTCTTTCCAGGCTCAGGGCTTTTCCATGTATTATTTTCTTTGCGGGTAAAGAAGGAATCCTCCCTTTTTCTCTTATTCTGTAGGTCTAGACCTTAAATATCAACCCCACAGAAGGTCTTAAAGCACCATTGCTATTTTAGTGGATTCTTGCTCCTGTTATTTTCTTAATATTGTACTATTTTCTACAAGAATTTATTGTAGTTTTAAGTGCATTATTTATAGTATGTTAAGTGAAGATAGAAATCATCGATGTACCTGGGACTAACACAGTGCTTTGCACAGACTGATTTCTCTGCTGAATAAATGAGCAGGGGAGTATTGATTCTAAGAACTTTATTCTGGAACCTCTCCAGCTCAAGTCTGAGAATATTATTAATATCGAGGCAGCTGCCAACCCAAATAAGGTAATGTCATTGAATTCAGCTCTATACTGAAATAAAGAAGCTTATTTACAGAGCCATAAAATATGAAAAGTAACATGAGTGGAAAATCACACAGGCAAAAATCTTGTGCAGAACCCAGGTTTAATGCCCTCTTCCTTTGAGCATTAAAATAATAGTGCTCATCTGGGCTTCCTTAGAAGTCAGTAATGTTAATGGGTGAGTAGAGTGAGTTACGGTGGTGCTCTGCCCAGACCCATTTTAGCACCAATATTCCCACCTCCTTACATTTTCTTTTGCTTCCAGAAGGCAGCACCTTGGGTTGTCTTCTGGGGGATTGGGTCTGGGCTGCTAGAGGCTGCTTTGCTGGCAACACAGAGAGTGGGAGATGTTTGGGAATTAACCTCCACTCTCAATCCATGACTGAAAAGTTTAGGAATATGAAAGTCCCGGACTCCTCACTTCAGGGCAGGAGTTCCTGACTGCATCAGGCTGGAGCCTCGTTGGCTGGATGCACTGCTGCTTGGCTTCCTTCTCTTCTCTGTCCCTGCTCTTCCCTCTTCCTTCTCCTGTGATTGTTGCCTAAATAAGTCACATGCACTTGAATTCTGGAAGTAGGCCTTATTTGAAGGTCTACTTCTGGAGAACTAATCTTAGAATTAATGTTAAGACAGTAGGACAGAGGTTCTTGGAATTTTCCTCCACATTGACTATCTATTTGTAATGCATTCTAGAGAAACAGAACATTCTAAAAATCAGAGAAAACAGCAAAATAGAGGCCTGTTACCATGAAAGAGAATAGCTGTCCAACTAGTTTAATGTGGCTAGTGAAAGGTGCCTGGGAGTCAGGGGATGACAATAAAAGATGGGGCTAGGAAGTGTCACTTGTGGCCAGATTATGACAGGCATTGAAGTGATGCTAGGAAGTTAAAAAAAGGAGAAAAGAAAAATACTCCAACAAATAAATCCAGGCCTTCCTATATGCTCTCTATTTAATCCTCACAAAAAACCTTATGAAGGAGATATAATTATCATCCCCATTTTGTAGCTAAAAGAATCAAACTTAGAAAGCTGTTTAGGGACACCTACAAAGAGAGTTGGGATCCCAATCCAGGCATGAGTTTGTCTATTCTGCAAAAAGTGGGAAGTAAAATATCATCCTTAACCAATAGTTCTGATGCAAAGTCTGGATTAGACTGGGGAGAGAGGGAAGCGCATAGACTCCAAACTGAGCTCATTCCCATCTCTACTGCAGTCGTCTTTTTGAGGAGATTATGAGAGCCTGGCCCACAGCAATGGTGGTGGGAATATGAAGAAACTGGATGGATTTAAAGACATCTGTTCTGTTTAAAATTCAATTATCCAGGCCGGGCTATTGGTTGGGATCAGCTCTAGATCACAAGTATATTTCTCCCTGAGTTAGAAGGCAATGGTCAAGAACTCATTCATTCACTAAATGTTTGTTTGACACTCACTAAATTATGAGGAACTGCGATTGGTGATACCAATTAGGGGACATTCATGGGAAAATACTTCAAAGCCTACACACTCCTTCTTTGTCAGTAATGCTTTTAGGTTGTGCAGAACCAATCAATATTCATAAACCAAAACATGGATATGTTTTTTGTTTTGTTAAAGTTTAAAGTCACAAAGATCATGAGTTCTTATTCTAATTTCAAAGGGACAACTAAGAACCTATTTCTGTTGCTTTTTGTTTTTCATAACCAAATTCTTAAGTTTATGTACCAAAAGGGTACCTTCTAATAGATTTTGTCTGTGATCAACATTCCTTAAGAAATACTATGGCTGGTTTTAACCAAGATGTTAGAAAAGGGAGGGGAGAAGAGTTTAGAAGAAAACAAATTAAAATGGTTTTAAAAATACATATTACTATAGGATCCAGAAACCTGTGCTTTTAAAACAAATCAGATTCAACAGTGTTAAAAAAAAATCCACTGTGCTTTCAAGAATTTATCCTACAAAAACACTTGAACATGTGTAAAATAACCTACTTACAAAAATAGTTCAACATTTTTACGTTAGTAAAAACTTTTAAAGAAATTAAAATGTTATAAAATATGATATAGCCACTTGACAGAATACTACACAGCTGTTCAAATGAATGAGGCAGCTCTATACATATCACTATTGCTCTAAGATATACTACTGAGGGGAAAAAGCAAAGTACAAAATGATATATTTAGTATTTCATAATTTATGTACAAAATGGGAAGAGTACAAACACACACCCACATCTACATACTTTTGTACACACCGAATATTTCCAGACAAAAGTGGGGTTCAAGTGGCTAGAAGTCAGGTGAGTAAAGGAAATTTCACTGTATATCCCTTCACTTTATTTTTTAAATCTCAAAATAAATATGTTTGCATGTATTTTTTTCTTTCTGGAAGGATTTAAAAAACTTTTCAAAAGTGTTTATCCTTGGGAGATGGGGCTTTTTGTTTTCATGTAACACTATTTCATTGATTTTCCAAGTATGTATTACTTTATATAATATGATTTAACTGGCAGTAGTATAGGGATTTTTCCCTCCTTTATGGTTCCCTATCATTAAGAAAACACCATCTTTCTGTTTAGAAAATATTATTACCAGGGTCATAATCTGCAGAGACTGATTCTCTCCTAACGTTTATTTCATTCAGATTGTCTTTTATGGAAAGTTTTGAATCCAACTTTACTGATTTAAAATGTGATGTCTTTTTCCCTATAATTTACCCATGTGTCCATTTTTCAAGTTCTAGTAAAATGCTCTTAAAAGGCGTGGGCTTTTCACAAGCATTTTTAATGCTTCTTAATGGCAGTTTCCTGGGCCTGGACTCTGTTCATTAAGAGAGGAGGCAATAAAATGCTTTGTTCTCTGAATTAAGGTGACAGAAGTGAATAGCATAAAGAAATGGCATAGAAATAATTACGCATAGTGAATATTCAAACACAAAGCCATGCTTCAAAAGCATAGGTGAGAAATTACTGGTTTCTACAAGTAATCTACCAGGTCTCTCCAAAGTATATTACCATTTCATATATTTTTATATGATCCCTGATTTTAAAAGAGTTGGTAAGGTTAATTTACAGAATCAAACAATAGGTCAGTTTACACAAATAGATGATAGAGATGAACACATTGTGGAGTTAATTTAACTTATATCTTCTACTTGTACCTCCTAGTTCTTATAACTTTTATACATATATACTTTCTTCATATAACATTTTCTTTTAAATTCTATATGAAATTACCATGTCTTCATTCTTCCAATTAATCGCTTTTCTAAAGATATGTTTGACTCATTTGTTTTCTTCTTTTTTGGCTTGTATAAAAAGTGGTAAGAAAGTAATGATAGAGGAAGCCAACAGAGGAGCAAGAAGAGCATGTTATTTTTTCCTCCCGAACCTTATAGTCTCCCTCCAGTACCCATTGGCAGCTGGTCAATAAATGTTTGCAGTGTCCCAGTTCCAGTGTCACAAGCAGAGAATAGAAGAGTATGTTTGGAATAATTTAATAACTGGTACATACCCATGAATAATTTAATAACTAATAAATAATTTAATAACTAATAATTATTAATAATTTGGAATAATTAGAGTCTAAGTCATCTTCATTTGAATATATATTTTATTTAGAATTCAACATTAACATCATGATGATAAACTGTCACGAATTTGTACCAAGAAGCACACAATCTTTAAAATGCGCTATTTTTCACAAGTGCTTTAAGTATAGCATTATTATTATTTGGTACTAGAGTCAAAGACGACATTTAGATTCCTCAGCTCTGGGACATTTAGTAACATTGAAATGACTGTCTAGTCAGGCAGAGGAAAGAAATTCAAAAGCAGTTTCTTTTTCTTCTTTCAGTTCCTTTGCAGTAAGATCCATCTTCTCACGTGAGAAATCATTAATAGGGAGACCTTCGACAATCTTCCATGTCTTATTCTGTTTGAAAATAATTGCAAATAAGAGATTTACAATTAAACTAGAACTAATCCTCCAGCAACAACTTAGTTTGAACTTAAATCTAGAAGACTATCTATTTAAAAGTCTGATTCTAAAGAAATCAAATCAAAATCCAGATCTTAACAGCTAATTTTGTTAAAAACTCAACATTTGAATTTAAAACTCAATGAATCTAGAACAAAATCTTTAAATGAAGATTAATCGGCAACAAAAAACCTAATGACTTTGATTATAATAAAGAGCAACAATACTGAGAACTATTGCTTCATTTGGAAGTAAGGTACTATTTGTTGGTATCCAACATTAGAGGCATAAGAAAATGTGTCTAGTGGGAAGTGTTGAATCTTGATTTTTCAGATTAATTTCACTTTTTCAGTGACCAGAAGTTGTGCTTCATACAATTTTATAGCTGAGAAAAAAGTCTAATTTAGTAAATGAACAATTTTCTAGACTAAATTATACCATTATTAATAAAAACCCACAACTACTTTTCCAGTAGGAGACATGGAGAAATAACCCCCAAATATCTCACCTTGATTGTAACAGGGAATGAGTAGAGCAGATCATCAGGAACACCATAGGAGTTGCCATCAGAGATAATGCCCATGGACACGAACTCACCCTAAAAATAACGATTTTTACATTTTCATGGTGTTTAGGGATTAGTTTACATAATCAACTGACACACAAACTAGCAAAATTAAAATAGGTGACACTTTATTATTAGGTGTATAACTTCATTATTGTACAAGGAACCATCACTAGGCACTTCCACAACAGGGTAATTTTCATGCTTATTATCTCATTCTACTCTTCCAATCCTCATTTTATAAATAATGAAACTATGGCCCAATACAGGTTTTAAGAAGAAAAATGTCACCCCTACCAGTTGTGCTAGGTACTTTTTACATATATCACCTCATTTAACTCTTACAACCCATGTAAAAGATGACAGAACAGATCAGAAAGGTTAAGTAACTTTCCCAAGGTTACTCAGCTAGTAAGCAGCTGAACTAGGATATTAACCTAACCTGCTTACCTGACACATTTTTACATTACAGCATCAGAAGACAAAAATAAAAGTGTGGCCTGTGGAAACCACGGAGTCCTTACCTCTGGGGTTCCAAACCAGATGTCTCTGACATGGTCACAGATGGCTTTTGCAGCAGACATCGCACTGGATAGTTTTCGAGCCTTGATGACAGAAGCGCCACGCTGCTGCACAGTCTGGGTGGGGGCAGGCAGAGACAGCAGTGTTACTTGATCATGACAGCAGCATTTTCACTAATTCCAAGCTGACACTGGGGTGAAAGGCTGCAATCACAGCTTAACATGTCCCCTCCAAAATCATGCAACTACCCAATGTTGGACTTACGAGACCATTTCAGTTATAAACACCAGTCCTTTTGAAAGAGAAAACTACAAATCCCCACAGAAAGTTTACCATACTTTATGCAAAGAAATGGATCTCTTATAAAGATAAGTGGATGACTGGAGGGCACTCTAAGTTTTTCTACTTTAACAACCAATCTTGACTACCATGTAACAGAGAAGATCATGACTACATTAGTTGGACTTCCAAAGAAAGTATGCAGTCATCAGACAACTATGAAAAGCCTGCTCTCTATGAGGCCTTCCTTCTCCCTATCCCTTGGAAAACACCCAAATCAGAAAGTTGTGTCTCTCTCAAGAGTTTTTATGGTTGGCTGTTAAGAAAGCTCCCAGATTTTTCTTACTGTGATGAATTCTCCTTTGAGCCAGCTGTCATCTTTCAGAGCTTCATAAACACCAACTTCCTTTCCCTGCAGTTTCACCTTAGCATGGTTGACATCTGGATACTGGGTTGAGGAATGGTTTCCCCAGATAATGACATTCTTTACATCCTCAGAAGTCACACCAAGTTTAAGAGCAATCTAGTTATATAGAAAATAAATACATTAGATAAATGCTTTTTATTTCAAATTGTGACCTGTTTGACAAATGCCCTTAAGATAAACAGCCTCTGAAACTTCAAGAGAACACGAGTTATACTGATTTGTAAAATAAAATTGCAAATTTTATTGCTTGGTAATTTCCTAAAACAGTTTAAGAGTATAAACAAACTGTGAACCTGAAACATTCTAGAGTAGAATATTTAATTAGAATGTTAATGTTTAAGAGTAGGGAACATCCTGTAATTTGTGATTAACTTATTAGTACAGTGGCTTTATCAAACATAAAACACCAACCAAGAGGTTAATATTGCTGAAATGCATAAATGTGACCTTTGTTTCTTTGTTGTTACTTACTTGGAGATGCCTCCTCAGCAATTCTGAGCAATTAGGTATTTAGGTACTTTCCCCATATTTAGGTGAAATTTTTATTATATACCATATATAAATTAACTAATTTTCAAATAATTCTAAATATGAAATTTTGGAGTTGGAAGAGACTCAGATTACCAAAGTATGACCGCCTTCATGTTACGGATTAGGAAACTGAAGAAAGAGTTTAAATATAACATGTATATAATACTAAAATTATAACAGCTATAACAATCTCTAGCTGTAGGTTCAGAAATCACTTTAGGATCGATCCTGCATGCCTGGGGCGGGGGGGCATATGAACATCAATTTACATAGTACAGTAGCCACAGAAAGGGTTAGAAAGTTATGTTTTTAAAGATGTAAATAAAAATCAGCTTATTTTGTTATTTGCCTGATAAGGTAATGTGCAGAAAAAGCATTATGGTTCGTTGTATGTATAATTTGCTCCTAATTAGATAGCAGAACTTAGGATGAACCAGAAGGGAATGTTTTGGAAAAGAATTTTTAAAAGCTGATGTGTTAGGGTAACATTGTGAGTGATTTTTCTTTCCTTATTATAAGAATGGGAGGAAAAAAGTTGTGCCAGAGTCCACAGCTTTTGCATACATAAATAAAAGCACTGTGGAAGGGGATCTTCTGTGGGTGATGGAACAGTTCTATATTTTGACTATGGTGGTTATAGTAATCTGTATATATATGATTAAATGTCATACATAAAAATCATTCATAAAGAAATACAAAAAAATGTAGAAACTGCAGAAATCTGAGCAACTCTACTTAAGTGTTGTGGGTAGTCTAGTGTATTTCCTAGTTTTGACAATGCTCTATATTTATGTAAAATGGCACCACTGGGGAAAGAAGGTAAAGGGTACATGAGATTCTCTGTACCGCTTTTTGCAACTTCTTTTGAATCTGTTGTTCCAAAATAAAAAATAAAAAACAAACCAATCAAACAAAAAGGATAAAAATGAAAAGGCCATTACCTAAAATGTTTGTAACAACTTGACTCATCTCACAAATTTACTGCATCAAGACGTGAATTGTCTTTACTTTCACTATGGCTGTTAAAATAAGCTGCAACTCATTTCTTAAATTCTAAAATAGTTATGATGATTAAAATAATTAACTTAAAAATTAATTCTTGGTTTCTGACATTTTAAATCACTTCTCATCTAAATTTTGCTTCATCTAGAGTTCTGCAAGTATTAGGGCTATTAACTACCACATCAATTTTCACAAATTAGACGGATAGTTGGTTTCTGTGGTACCCAGCTATTGACCTGCTTAGTGGTTGGAGTAGAGTGGTATGCTGTGCAATGAGTACAATTTCCTGTGTGCCCTGACCTGAAAGGACTTGGAAAGAACTTATATTTAGCTGGCACTGTAGAGAAAAATTTGTACCTGGGGCAAATAACACAAGATGTATATTACCTAGAATTTAGAACCCACAATTCTGCTGAATGTCAGTTTCGACCACTCCAAAGTACAGTGAAGACACACTGCTATTAGGCTTCTCCTCCCTACAGGAGGCTCCCTTACTTCTTTTCTTCTGTTGCCCACCTCCTCTTATTCTTTTGACCTCTTGAGCTACTCCACTCCTGTCTGGCCAGCAAAGGCCAGTACTTTGCACCCAGCAGATGTAGTTTCTGAATATCATTCATGTCAGAGCTAGTCTAAATTAACATGTATCCAGGATAGTAGTTTCTTGCTCCCGAGGATACTTTCATGTCTGCATATAGATCTATTAAACAGTTTTTGACTAATTCTCCAGCCCTAGCAATTTTCTTCCCTTGATACCAGCTACCTGGTTTCATTTTTAAATTGCCTTGACAGCAGACACGTATGCAGTTCTGGTTCGCAAATACACAGGGGAGGTCTGCAGGTGATAAATAGTTGCTAGGTAGCTGAGTCCTCTGAGTTCTAGAACAAATTATGTAAGACTAGTAACCATTTACGTAAGAAAAATTAACCTTTGGGTTTGTTATTTTTTCCACTGGATTAACAACTACAGGAGGAAGAAACTGCTTCCTCAAAAACTTCCTAAAAGCTCTCACTGTGCCAGACTGGCATGCTGAACATGTGCCTGAAGTTTGATGAAATAGCTTCTTTTTCCCTCTTTCCTCATTCAGACTTTCACCCCTACAAGGAAAACTGTTTCAGGCACTGGAATAAAGTGTCACTTAGTAAGTACTTCTTCTGGAAGCAAAATTTTCCAATACCTGCCTCCACCAAGACCTCAGGTGAAACTGCAAAGACAGAAGTTTGTTATTTTACCTCTTTCTTCCTCTTGCAATTAAATTAAGAAACCATCTGCCAATCCAGAATCTACAATTGCAACAGGTACCTTTTCCTTAACTGTTAAATAGTATGTGTTGTATAGTACCCAAATTAGAGGCCATGTCACTCACCTGCACTAATTTCATTGTAATTGTTCTATAGTACCCAAATCTCCTGCCTCCAGTCATTCAAACAAACCCCCATTCCTTCCTGGCCATGACTCTGGCTAATAATAGGGAAAAAGATCCAGCCCATAGCCTAAAGCCTCTCAGGAAATATTTGCAATTTAAGCTTGTTAATCAAAGACCTTCTAAATTAACTGGAATATTTACGGAGATATTTCTGAGGTGTGGCTCTTCTCAACTCTTGGTTATATCCTTCTTAATAATAATACAAGTCAGTAATAATAATAGCAGCCAACATTTATTGAGTTTTACAATGTGACAGGTACCCTGATAAGGGCTTAACATAAATCTTATCTCATTTTATCCATATAATTACTCTTTGAGTTAAGTACAGTTATTATCCCATTTTATAGCTTGAATATACTTTCTCAAGATCATGGAGCAAGTTAAGTTCATTTAGGTCACTTGATCCCATTATGTAAGAACACAGGCAAGGGTTTGGAGTCAGGCAAATACAGGTGGTGCCATCATTTCCTAGCTGTATGACTGAGCAGGTTCCCTGACCTTTCTAAGGGTTCAGGTTTTTTATCTGTAAAATAGTGGTAATAGATTTCTCATATGGATACTATGAGAATTAAATGATAAATTACATGTAAAGCATCCAACTTAGAGTAGAAGCTTAATGCATGTAAATTACCTTCTTCACTGGGCACTACAAAGCTGAAAAGTTATCACTTCTCAGTGTATAGCAGTGGTTTTTCAACTTAGACCTTTCACCATCTGTTGGTAAAAATCGTTTTCTTAAAACTAAACAAAGTTGTCTTTTATAGAAGAAAAAAGACTAAACTCATAAACCTATCTAGCAGTGATAACCTGATAAGGAGGGAAAGCCAGAAAATCACTAAGGAAAAGGAAAGAGGTTATGTCCCAGAAACAGAACTTTGTCATGACTTCTAAGGGCATCAGGATTGTTTAAGTCTAAGAAAACCTAGGAAGCTAACACAGATGAGTGGCATGGCCTCCAAGTTTTTAGAAAAGCTATTAATACTCTGGTCACTGACCCCTTGACATATTTATCTAAGGCTCCAAGGGGTAAGAAAACTTGATGGCAATTAAAACCTAGCTGCTAAATAGTGAAATTTATGGAAACATGCACAATATTAAGAAGATAGAAAATTGAAAGAGATTATATATAAAATTAAAAATCTGAGTTTGACTGCTTAGCT